TCCCCTCGCCCAATCCTCCAGCATCCTCCTCCCAGCGCAGGAGATTAGAGGCCAGTCTTTGGCCCGCGCAGCCACGTGTAGTGACCAGCCCCGGCGCGCCCTAGGGCGCCAGTGGTCGGACCACCCCTGCATCAGAAGGGCTAAAAGGGCCCCAGCATGGCAGAGGGCGGTACATTGCTGCTACTTTTCTCTCCCAAGCGCTTTATTTCGGCCATGTACCCCCCAAGTCACGCTAAGCTTTCCGGCCAAGGGTACTCTCTGTGCGCTGATGCTGGTCTCTGTTCACTTCGCGGTGCATCGTCAGAGGAAGCCAGGCCAAGAGAAGAGACAGTCAACAAATGGCCCCTCTGCGCGCCTCGAGCGGTGCAGACTCAACTTCTATGCGTCCATTTTCACGGCCGTACTAGAGCGGCTGATCAACCAGGAGGGGCGCGACATGACCACGGCATTTCCGCCCCAGCCAGCCCAAAGCCCAGCCCTTGGTTAGACTTTGCTCAAATTGCAACTCCAAGATGGGCCTCTCCCTCCGCCAAAGGGCGCTTGACCTCAAGGTCGATCCACGTTCGTTTAATAATCACCAAAGGCAACCACATCATCCTCTCCCTCGCGAAAGCTACCTGCCAACTTCTTGCGTAGCTGAGCGGCGCCTCAGGAACCTTATTACTCAGTGAAGAGCGGCGGCCCTCGGCACCCAGAAATAGGAGAGACACTTCCCGCATACCTCTCTGCTCTCGCTTGGAGCCGCATTCCGGGCGATCTCGGCCTTGATTCAGAAGAGCTGACTCTTCCCCCCCATCCCGAGGCGGCCAATCACAGGTTGCCGACGTGCGCCTGAGCGCGGGGCTACTTGTTACAGGCTTGACGCCAGTCTTGTCCGAAAACGAGAGCGTCGCTTTAGTCTGGTTGAACGGAGCAATGCACCGAGCAAGCAACAACTTCCCTATCAAGCGAAGTGATGGACATTCAGCTGCTTCTTGGCCGTCGGCGATGAGAGGTCCTATGATGCAAGTTGAAAGAGAGATAGGTAAGGATGCTTGCAGTAAAAATGTTATTAGGCGGGTCCGATTGGCCTCTGGTCACGCCCCTGTTGCCGCATTGGGAGACAGGGCCGCTGAGGGTGAAGATCTTCCCAAGCCCGCTTTGATCTTGTCGATCCCCCAACATAAACAATTTGGATCGTCTTCTTCCAGGGGGGTTGTTTTGATTCTGATGCGGAAAGCCAAGAGGCAAGCACCCGCGCCGCCTTTGACCCGATCCCAATGCAACCTCAGCCTTCCATTTCCCATCGGGCATTTACCGCCAATTGCCCAGGACTCTGGTGATCGCCGCAATCCAAGATCGAGATCAGGGAGGACCCGGTTTTATTTGCAATGTCAATGTCGAGTTGCTCCATCCTTGCCTGCACCAACACATCGCGGTTCCGGTTTTGTTGCTCCTGCATCACGTAAGGAGGCATGGGAGAACACGAGCGAGGCCACGCATCCTTCGTCGTTGCTTAGCTCCCCACGCCCGTACCGGCTTTTTCTTCAAGGAGGAGAAGAAGGAGGAGAAGGTCCTGGCTTAGCTGGTGTAGCGTAGAGGACGAGGAGGTCGATCCCACTTTTACCGTTTGCTGATACGGTCCTAGGGCGACGCCACGAGAAAGCTGTTTGGCCATCCCAAGGTCTAGTTTCTCAACAACGGCAACTTCCTCCCCTCTCACACCCACAAAGTAGATGTCAAAATCCCATGGGTGTTGTCCTCCCCCTCCTCTGGGAGAGAGTTTTGAAGCCTCAACCGCTCTATCCCCGTACCCGCCTCGCGCACCCGCGACCACCACCTCCTCCTCCGGCCGAGGTCGCCACCACCAAGCCCGAATAAGGGCCGTTTCTCGCCAATCTCTCTGCCTGCCTCTGAGGCCACACACACACCAACAAAAGACGTCGCGTCTAGTTGGGCGAATGCTATGGTCCGGTGAACGACACCCGCCTGCTCGGCGCCGTTTGGTGGGTTAGCTCAAGTGCACTTCAATAGTGCCTCTCTGATGTCTCACATTTTCTGTTTGGTTACTTAAGCACACAAACACGCGAAACACCTGCGCGCGGTGACGTCGAGGCCCGTTTTCTTTGTCGACGAGTGACGACAGAAAGGGGCTTTTTTTTCTTCTTCTTTCTCGCTTGCTGGGAGCGGATGACGGGTGTCTTTGCCCCAAGAGCTGCATCGGGCACCAAGGGAGATGACTAGGCACAGAGCCTATGCAGGAACGACAGGTTTGGCGTTACTCAAGTCGCCGACCAGTCTGCCGGTGGCGGTCGATCAACTTTTACTTTTTGGAACGACGGCTGCCGCACGGCTCGAACTACATGGCGGTACCTCACGAATGCGAATACGCGAACGTCCCTATGTAACGACCGTCGCATGTCACGAAGGCTAGCCGCATTAGTTGAGCAAGGCGGGCAAAGCCACTTATCGTCGTCGTCTCGAAGCCGCAACCGGTCCCAGAGAGCGTTGCAATCTGGCCGTCCTAAGTTAGTTGAGGAGGGCTAGGAGGTGTCTCCAGGGCCGGACTTGGAGATGTTGAGAGAGGGGGGGGTACGTAAACCAAAACCCAATTGTCCCTTGTGGCGGCGGACGAGAATAGCCTTGTCTCTCCTTTCCCGCCTGCTTCCCAACGTGCTGGGCTCACGCCTCTCCTGAGGAACTAGCACCGGGCGGGACCTTACATCCAGGCCGAAGCAGCGGTGCAACAGTCGAGCAAGGGGGGGGGGGGGGCGGCTTCCCGAATCGCGCATTTCTGGTTTGACAAGGTCTGCTCGGGCGATCTCCCATGGTGATAGGTATGCACAAGGGACAAAACTGTCATGCACAGCAGGATCTCTTGCCGCACCCATGGACCCGGGAGAGACGCCTGCACAAGGCCTGGTGTTACCGCACCTCAGCCCTCGGGCCTCACAAGGCAACGGGGCATTACACGGGTAAGATCCCTGGATATCAAAATGCCACCGAAGGCCCGGCTCTTGGTGATCCGAGATAAGACACTTGCGATGCTTTGTGTTATCGTCGCACGACTTGATCGGGTACCTTGCAAGTGATGCTCAGAGGGTTGGGGCCCACGAATGAGCTTTCAACAAGTGCGCAACAGTTGCCTTTTCCGTATGCAGGTACGAGACGCAAAGCACAAATATGGCATATGAGGAGGCGTTTTCTAGTTGACTAGGCTGAACTCGTTTGGACTTGGAGACCTGGGTAGCTCAACGTAGCTCAACTCCCTTACCCGTAATCACGAGCGACTAAATGGCGCCATGGCGGCGGACAAGAAAAGCTCAAGCCTCGAAACGGTGGACGCCTCGCTGTCGCACGCCTATCATCATCACGGTCAGCAATGACAAAATGCGAAAAAAGTCAAAGCACGAGGGAGATAGGTAGCGGTGATAAGTCGAGCTTGGCCTTGGACGTCTAGGCCTCCCCTACCAAGCCAAACTGCCGTTTTGGATTTGTAGTCTTGTAAGTGGCTGGCTGCTGATCCGTTGTAGACAAGGCGCTACGTGCGAGACGCGCACACCTCCTCCTTCCTACCTTTTTATTTTACCTTTTTTTTATTTCCCGTGAGCGAACACAGCCTAGCACGCAACCCAAAAACCACACCAATGGACAGCTTCTCCTCAGCCCCGGCCAATTCCCACATGTGGGCATCTTCACGAAAATAAATTGTCGATGGGGGAGAAAATGCAGATGTCCGGGATGTATCTTGCTTTGCTGGCTCGAGGTACTCCGCTGGCAGAGTGGGTTTTTCCTATCTTTCCGGGGCGGGGGGACGATTTTGTTCGACGGCGGTCTCGATCAGACTAGGCCGCTCTCTCCCCGGACACGTCCGCGCGTCGAAGCTTGAGGTGAACAGTGAACTTGCTTTTTTGCCCTCTTTTCCCCCCTCAAACGCGGTAGGGTTAAGCTCCGCTCAGGGACGGAGTAACTAACCTACTAACCTACAGCTGCAGCTTCTCCTTCCTAACTGGTTAGGTGCACACAACTAGGTCTTTTCTCCCGTGGCCAGGGGATCCTCGTCGAACGACGGCGCTGACAGCGGCATATTGACCGGGTTGTGCTCCTGGTCTGCCTCTCGGCGTGCATGGCGCGCGGTGCTCCAAAGAGAAGGAAGTTGGCATCCGGGAGGTACTCTCTCGTTGCAGCGACCCTGTACTATTTGCTCTCTCTCTCTCTCTCTCTCTCTCTCTCTCTCTTTTAGGTCCCGCCTCTCAGGCAGTGGCATGACTAGGGGAGATGAGCAAGAGAGGACAAGACAGTTCGTGAGTTGGTTTACTTCTTTGCTTTTTTGTTCCAAGAAGTCTTGGACGAACAGATCATGCGCATTGAAGGGGTGGCTCAGCTTCATTTCGGGGGAGGTGTTCCCACGCGGGAGTTGAGGCTGCTGACATCAGGTCTCAGGCTGCAAGAGAGACAGGAAAAAAGCAAAGCTGCTTTCTTTTACTTTTTTTCCCAGCTCCGCCTGTCTCGCGTGCAGTGTCTGACAATCACGCCTCTGGGGGACGAGGGTGACCGGCGCGTGGGGAGGATGCTGCAAGATGAGATGGGATGAGATTGACGGGCCTGGGGAGTCTTCAACAACACTCCAAGTTACTCCTGCTGCTTGCATCTCCTTGCTTTTTCCGGACCACTTAGCAGCCTCGCTTGGAGGCATGTCGCGCGCTACAACAGGCCCGTGGCTTGCAGGTCGTGCCTCTTGCTCCTGCAGGACCTTATCTCATTTCCCGCTACGCAAGGGATGCATATCTAGTGCCCACAGTCGACACTGCTGGCACCGCGCCGGACTGCCTGCTGGAGACAAGACGGCTTCATGCCGAATCTAGGGGAAAGAACGACGCTTCTATTCAAGATTACCTACACGCACGCTGACGACTCTCGTCTCCGGATTCTGAGACTCCTTTGTGCCTATCGCTTCTAATTTCGCGTTTCCTCCTTCACACCTCCCTCTCCGCTGGCCTCCCTCTCGAGCGGTGGGGGTGTCATTGGCCCTTGGCAACGAGGCCGTTGGAGAACTCCAACGTCACGGCTCCCCCCTTGCTCTCGACCACGCGCACCGACCTCAGGTCCTGCACGATCCAGTCCGGCTCCGCGCTGGCGACCTGCTCGGCCGTGTGGCTCGTGACCAGGCCCAGCACCCTGCAGCCCGCGGCCTTGCCGGCCCGGATGCCCGCGGGGCTGTCCTCGAGCACGAGCACGCTGGCCGCGCGGTCCCGCGGGTGCTCGAGCCTGTCGAGGCCCAGCAGGTAGCAGGCCGGGTCGGGCTTGCCGTTCTCGACGGACTCGGCCGAGATGAGGTGCTCGGGCTCGGGCAGGCCCAGCACGCCCAGCCAGCCGTGCACGAGGGGCTCGGTGCCCGAGGTCACGATGGCCCAGGGGGCTGCCGCGCCGCCGCCGCCGCCGCCGTTATTACTGCGGCTGCTGCTGCTGCTGCTGCTGGTGCTGTGGATCAGCGCGTCGAGCAGCGCCCTTGCGCCGGGGATCTCGACGGCGTCCTTGCCGTAGAGCTTGGGGAGGACGGCCTCCATGCGGCGCACGTCTGTTTGATTGGGGGAGACGTCATTGCGTTAGTTTCATGTTGTAATTTTCTTTTTTTTGCACTTGAGTTCCTTCTCCGTCAAGGGGAGGGAGGTCGTGCGTGTGGCAATATGATGGCTGCACGGTTTGTCTTCCCCCCCTAACAAAAGGGCAAATTGCTCATGACTTTGGGCTCCGTGGCGTTGCCTAAGCTGTCTAGTATGCAGCTGAGCCTCTGCGTACCTAGACCCCTATCCCCGGGATGTTGTACCCCGGCGGAAAGGCCTCTTTGTTTTTTGGGAAGGGGGGGTCCTCTTTGATGCGGCTCTCGCTCTCTGTGCTTCGGCAATGCACACGCCCTCTCCCTTGCCCGTTCTTGTCCCCCACTTGGTATGAACTTGGTAAGAAGGTTCCACATCGTGGCTACAGGAGTTGTCATGGGCCGTAATTCGGCGAATCGTCTTGTCTTGGGAGGGATGGAAGTGGTAAGAGTTCGGGAAATGAAGAGAGTCACCTCCGCTCCGGATGATAAGCGTGTAAGTGCGCGTGTGTGAGCCTGACGCGAGCAAGAGTCATGGCGCCTTGCGTCAAGGCTCCGCGAGAGACGCAGGCCGTCCAGTCCGAGGAAATGAAATGACGATCTCAGGGGTAGAGATGAATGAGGAATTGATGACGAGTGCACATGGTGGCTTGTGGCGGAGAGAGAGAGAGATCGACTTACACTCCCAGTTCGCCTTCTCGGGCGCCAGGATTTTGAGAATGTCTATACTCCGCCGACCGTGGGACGTCTCGAGGATGACTTCAGGCGGTACTCCTATCTCGTTGCCGACTCTGTTTCCCCCCAAGTCGAGATTTGTCACATGTCAGCGCCGTGATCCCACTCTCCTCCTCCTTCGTGATGGCGACAGAGCCTCACAACACCGAGCCTTGATCGTGAGTCCGGGTAGCTTACGTGTGCCAATGCTTGACGACTGCGTCTGTAGAGTCGATGATGGTGCCGTCCATGTCAAAGAGAAAGCCTTCAAACGTGGCGGTGACCGGCGGGGCGCTGTAGTCGGCCTCGCTGGCGGGCGTCGTTTGCTCGTTGATAGTCATGGCTTCGTAAGTTGGGCGAATTGCACCCAGTTGAGATGGGTATAACTTGTTGTCTAGTTGTTGTTTGAAGTAGAATAGATAAATCCAATAACAAATACCGTTATTCGCTGAACGTAGGAGAGTGTCGTTGAGTTATGTATCTTCCCGTGAATGAGCCAGAACCCGGGATTACTCCAAAGCCAAAAACACTCACGATACTTTTGAGGCGAAAACATCAGAAACAGGCAATTCCGCCAACCTCAACTCCGAACCCGCCTACTACCAAAAGACCGCCGAGCAACAAGCAAAACTCTCTCACTCAACCCACCGGAATTTCCTGCTGTGGTCTAGCGCCGCAATAAGAGATTGGAATAAGCTTTTGCCTGCGGTCTGAATAATGAGCTCCCATACATAACCCTAACCCCTTTGTTATCGCTGATAAGCAGATATCTCGCTTTGTAGTGGGGGATTTTTCTGGTGCAAATGTGGGGAAGTGGCTTTTTATGACAATTTTCACCGCCAAAATTCTCTTTTGTCTCGCCTCTGCACCCGCCAGACGGATTGAAGGCGACGTTGAGAAGAAGTATCACAGGATCAGACAGCCCTTGCGATACTGTTCACAATGGCCGGTTCGATCAACAAGCCCAAGAGTGAGTTGTCATGGTGTCCAGTTGCAAAATTTTTCAAATCTCTAACCGACCGATTCTACAGAGCCCAAGTCCAAGCGGACGCCCGTCCGCCTCCGGCACAAGATCGAGAAGGCCTCGGCCGCAAAGCAGAGAAAGCAGAAGAAGCTCGCCAAGAAGAACCCAGAATGGAGGTCGAAGCTCAAGAAGGACCCGGGCATCCCCAACCTGTTTCCCTACAAGGAGCGCCTTCTGCACCAGATCGAGGAGACCAAGATGAGGAAACAGGAGGAGGCACAGAGGAGGAAAGAGATGGCAAAGGCAGCAAAGACGGGCGCGCTGGCCGATGGAGATGCCGAGGAGATGGACGACGTCGAGGATGCCGGCGAGGACTTTGAGATCGACGACGACGACGCCATGGAGGAGGATGGCTCTGATATCGACGAGTCGAACCCCATGGCTGCGCTGATTGCCAGCGCGCGGGCGGCGGCGAAAAAGTACGACCGCGAGCTGCAGAGCGGCGACGACATGGACGAGGACGACTCGGAAGACGAGGAGGATGGTGTTATCGAGGTTCAGGGCACGGCTACGTCAAGAAAAGCCTACGACAAGGTCTTCAAGCAGGTGGTGGAGCAGGCAGATGTCGTCCTTTACGTCCTGGATGCGCGCGACCCCGAGGGCACGCGCTCGAGGGATGTCGAGCGTGCCGTTATGGATGCCGCCGAGGGCGGCAAGAGGCTGATCTTGATCCTCAACAAGATCGATCTGATCCCGCCGCCCGTCCTGCGGGCCTGGCTCGTCCACCTGCGGAGGTACTTCCCTACGCTCCCGCTGCGGGCGTCCAATGCCGCTCCCAACGCACACACCTTCAACCACAGGGACATGACGGTACAGAGCACGAGCTCAGCCCTGTTCAAGGCTCTCAAGACGTTTGCCGCGGGAAGGAATCTCAAGCGCGCCATCTCCGTGGGCGTCATCGGCTACCCCAACGTGGGCAAGTCCTCCGTCATCAACGCCCTGCTCTCCAGGCTCGGCAACAACAGGAGCAGCTCCAAGTCCGCGTGCCCCGCGGGCGCAGAGGCCGGCGTCACGACGGCCATCCGCACCGTCAAGATCGACAGCAAGCTGACGCTGCTCGACTCCCCCGGCATCGTCTTCCCCTCGACCTCGTCGGCCGGCAGCGCGACCTTCAAGCCCAAGGACAAGGCCGAGGCGCAGGCGCACCTCGTCCTGCTCAACGCCGTCCCGCCCAAGCACATCGACGACCCCGTGCCCGCCGTCGCGCTGCTGCTCCGGCGCCTGGCCGCGTCGCCGGACCTCGCGGCCAAGCTGACGGCCGTCTACGACCTGCCGCCGCTGCTGGCGGACCCGGAGAGCGGCGACGCGACGACCGACTTCCTCGTGCAGGTGGCGCGCAAGCGCGGCCGGCTCGGCCGCGGCGGCGTGCCGAACCTGGCGGCCGCGGCCATGACGGTCGTGACGGACTGGCGGGACGGCCGGATCCAGGGGTGGACCGACGCGCCGGTCCTGCCTGTTGTCGCCGAGGGCGCCGCGCCGGCGTCGGCTGCTGCGGCCGCGGCTGCTGAGGGGGCGCCGCTGGCAGACCAGAAGCAGATTGTCACCGAGTGGGCTAAGGAGTTCAAGCTGGAGGGTCTGTGGGGGGACGATGCTGGTGCGGATGTGGCCATGGAGGAGTAGGGCTTAGAGGACCGCCTCTCGTGGAGTGGGGGAGAGGATCGAATCGAAATGACATTTGTTCTAGGCGTTATATCCAGGCAGGCTTTATGCTAGCTAGAAGAAGGGGTTTTCTCGGGAATCAAGAAAAGATATGAGTTTTCAGAATGATGAGAAGTGTTCGACATGTTCTTGGCCTAAACCCTGACATGAAAAGGCCAGAAGGGGAGAGTGTGTCTATAAAAGAAGAAAAGTGAGAGAGATGTAGAGGAAAGAGATGAAAAAAGAAAGAGATAGTGAAATAGCTGTTTAATTAGAGACTCTTTTGGTGTAGTCCTGGAGTTGTTTGGTATGGTTCATATATTTTCCACCATCTAATGTCACCGCTGGATATATGGCCTTTACACTTGTTGACCGTTCTCATCTTTGAAAACTCCTGGCAAAGCAAGGGAGCCGCTCAATCTCGGCATTCACTTGGGCTATAAGTTCTTGGAAACAGGGAGGACGGCTGATCTTATAGATTCAAGCAGGATAGGATAGGAGGCTATCAAGACGATACGTCTACTTCAGCCCATACCAGGAAAAACCCATATTCCTCACAACTTGATCCCAGACCGTATCACCGCAATCTCCCCGCTCTTGGGGCAGAGCACCGTCCCGTGACGCATTTACAGTACATAGTTTCAACATGTCGGGGCTGAGCCAGTCCTTGGGGAGGTAGAAGTGCCGCTTCAGCGACCGCGAGCCAGCTCGGACGTCCCACGTGCAGAAGCAGTAGCTCCGGTCCAGGAAGACCACGTGGCCGTTGAAGCACCCGATGAGGCGGTTTACACAGTGGTCGACGAGCTCCCTGATCGGCCGAACGCTCGACGACCGAGAGGGGCCGTTTGGGATCTCGGCGACCATGATCTTCCGTTCAGAGATGTACGTTCGGTCTCTCGCTGCGTCCGGGGAAGTGTCGAACACAACCTGGGCGCCGTTCACGAGGAACGGCCTCTCGATGGAGGATGTCGGGTCTGGAGTGCGCGGTCGCTCCAAGCTCAGCTGTGCGAGGCCGGGCAGCAGCGGTGCCTGGAGTGTTGCTGCTGGGAGCTCATCGATAGATTCCAGAGTCGTCGGGCTAGCTTCCTGCAAAGATTTCCAGTCAAACTTCCGGATGCCGCGAGAGTTTACCAATAGAATCTGGTCCATCGCGCCCGGGCCATTCAGCCATCGATGGTTGGTTGTGCCAGGTGGCGCCGCCCGGCATACCTCCTCTCGAGTCCTCAAGTTCCAGACTGTACTTGTGCTTGCACAAGCAACCAACAGATATATCTCTCTGAAGGACTGAACAGGAGCTGAGAGATGGCCTCTCCGGGACGGATATCAAGCAGAGGGAAAACGCCCCAGTTCGGGTTCTCCGAGGTCGGTGTCCGGAGCTGCTTGGCCTATCACGCGTCCACAGTCGTCTGCAGATGCGATGAACCGGTTTGTACGCGACCATGCAACCTCTGTCACCGAAGCGATAGCCGCATGTCCATAGAGAGCTTGCGGATCTTGTTTCCTGTAGATGCCTCGTACAGGACGACCACCCCGCTGTCTTTCCCGCCGCAGTAGAACCGGTCGTCCCCATCGCAGACGATGGCTGTGATTTGGGCACGCTCTGCACCATGAGCGGCCGAGACGGGCTCAGAGGTGAGCGTGTCTTGCGAGCAAGACGCCTCTTCCCGATCTAAATCGTCGACTCGGACCAGGGCATCAGGCCCCCATACGTTGCAAAGAGGGCCTCGAATATCATAGAAGCGCTGGCCGTCGGGGCTGAAGGCAAGGCTCCGGACCATGTCCGGCTCCTGGAGCTGGTACGCCAACCGGAATTCGGGGACAGTCCAGACTTTGAGAGTACCGCTGTGGTCGCTCGTCAACAGTAGATTGCCGTCGGAACTAAGCGCCATTTCAATAGCATGGATGCCGGGGATAGGGCGTTGGGCGTCTTGGTCAACGTTCCACTCAAACAGCGCGGTGTCGTTATAGAGGACAAAAGCCGCTGGCAGTCCAGGCCGCCACACGACCCGTTCCGGTGTTCCCGCCTTCCACGACGAGGAATCATGCCCCAATCCAGATCGGTCTTCTGGGCGGGTACAGACGAGGGGCCCATGACCGAGGGCGTCCAGGTTCCATGAGAATATGGGCTTGCCGCGGTACCCGACAATTACCTGATAGTGATTAGGGCTAATAGAGATCAGATGGGGACAGGCATGTTCCGAGTCCCCTGGCTCTTCCAGAATTTGTTTCCATGATGCCTTGGATGTTGTCAGGTCTATGCACTGGAGTGACGAGTCGTCGTAGCCAATGAGTAGTTGCCCGTCCCCGGTTCCAAACGAGAGGGCGAGGATCCTTCGGTCGGATACTTTGGCTATGCAGTGCGTCTCCTCGCCCGTGGAAACGTCCCAGACTCGAATGAATCGTAAACCAGCTGTAGCCAGAAGGGACGAAGACCTGCTACCTTCGACAACGGAGATCCATTCGCCGTGATTCAGCCTTGTCTTTGTCTCACAGGACTCTGCATGCCAGACGATCAAAACGCCATTTCCGATCAAAGTTACAAAGAAAGCGCCTGTGCACAAGACCGTGGACGGGAACTCGTCTGTGCCCATCGTGAGACGAGCGAGGCAATCGTCCCACACGTCGCTGGAAATACCAATCACAGAAAAACTGCTCGCGGTTCCGTATGTTTGGCGGATTATTGAGCCCATCGGACAGAATGGAACAATGTGCTTGTATATAGAGGCGGGGTTGTCGAGAAGGGTGTCGCCGAATCGACCAACGATTCGTATCAAGTCTTTGGCCCATTGTTTGAGCTCATCATCCCTGGAGCCATAAAGACTTCTGAGTGACTCGTGTGACGTCTTTTTATTCTTTCGCTTGACGAAGAGCTTCAAGTTCCGGGCTGAGCGTGTCAAGACCCTCATGTCCCCGAGTAGGGCCACAGCATCGATCCATACCAGGCACATCTGATCGAGGAAAACATGGACGAGTTGGACAAGGTCAGAGTGAATTGCCGAGAGGCTTACATGGTAAGCCCACCACTTTACCGCGTAAGAGAGAAACGGGTGGTTGTTGAACAGGGCCAGGCTACCCGCTATTCTTGTTGTGGGTGTTGCGCCAACCTGAGCTCGTGCCAGTGTACGCTTCCAGTTCCTCTTCTGATCAGTAAGAAATTTCAGGGTGGTCTCGGCAATGAGCTCGTGGCCGGCCTTCAGGTCAAAGTTCATTGGTTTCCCTGGACTTTGATGCAATAAAAACTGCCGGGCTGTGTCGTGAATGAGTTTGACGCGGGTTTTCTCAACCACGATGAAGTTCCCGCAGATTTGCCTGATGGTGTTGTCAAGGCTGAGGAACTCGCCAAACTCGGAAGCCAAGGCAATATTCAACTCGGCAATCGTGAGCGGATGGAAAGAGCAAACTGCCCATGTCAGCACCCTCGAGGCAATGGCACGAGGCCGGGCCGGCTGTTGGGCGACCGTTTGAAGCATTCCAGAATAGAGAGACTCCATGCCCTCCGGCAAGTCGTTCAGAATCTGATCGATGTCGTGTCGAGTATGCCAGTTATCCTTTAGCTGATCCAGGGCCAAGGTCACCCAGAGAAATGCTCCTTGGGCCTTGGTGAGGATTATGTCGATTACGTCTTCACGAATGGCATCGTTGTGTAGGGTAGTAGAGATTACGCCTTGCGTGTAGTTTCGGATGTCATCCCTAGTGTCAGCATCTGTGATCTCATCATGGGCAACCTCAATGTTCGGGGGAGACTGCATGGCAATTTCCCTGACTGGCCTGCTGACGATGATGATTCGAAAAAAGTTGTTCGATGGCAACTTTCTGAGGAGGTTGGCGAGTAGTTCAGGATGGTCAGCTTCGTCTAGACCGTCAATGATCCAAAAGATTGGGCCGTCAAAAGTCTGGCGAAATAGTATGCCCTCGAAGACTGTCTCCCATATGCTGTTGATCTTCTGATCGCTGAAGAAAATGCTATCTGCATCGTCGAGCTCGATCAATCTTTCTTGGACGGCTGTGTTGCAGAGGGATAACTGGAATGCAATACTGCAGAGCATGTAGCTGATCCTTCGCTTTCTCTGATGGTCTGATTTGAAGAAGTGATATACGCAGTTCTTGATCGAAGGGTCTCGTTGAAGCGAATGGATGATGAAGCTTGATAACACCGACTTCCCGGCGCCCGGCAAGCCGGTGAGCCACAGAATTCGAGATGTGCTCTGAGTGACATGCCTCCAATTGCCATATGAGTGGCGGTGCAGGATCCAGCGGCAGGTACCTTCCATGATACGATCTCGTGCGGTCTCGTAATCGTCCTTTGGATCATCTTGAATGCCGAAGAGCTTCTCCAGCTTTTTTGTATTTGAATTCAGAACAAAGTCCATTCGCAGGGGATCCCCAGAAAGCTCAGCGTCATCAGCTGCGTTGCGAGTTAGGCATAGGTGTACAGCCAGAATGTAAAACAACAATACTGCTCACCATCATGCCTACACTTTCTTAGAAACATTCGAAGCACGTTCCTCACTTGTTCAAAGTTTGGATCTTCCAGACCGCTAAACTTGCACATTCCGTGATGGTCGGCGTCCAGGCTACTAGATATTTCAGTTGGATAGCCAAGGACAGCGGATTCTTTGTCGACAATCTTGACTGGCTTAGTACGAGCACATCAAACCATCGGTAGAGGGTCTACGTGGCATACCAGTTTTTTAATCGCCATGCCGATGCTCGTTTTGTGGCTCTCATACAGCGATACTATCTCGAGATTGGCGCAAGTAGTGCGAAACTGTTCGTTGACGTCTTGCAACGACGTGGACGCCGTTTCCATCTCTGTCACGTACAACTTGCTCGAGAAGCTCGGGATGGAGCGCAGTATATTGTTGAGAAAATCTGCATGATTAGAACCGCGATGAGGCGTACCAAGGAAAAGCATAGCATGAACCTGGGCAATGGTATTCTGGTAGAGTTCATCTGACTTTCCAAGGATAAGAGCCTAGCAGCACCTAGATTAGATGTGTATCCCTTTTGGGAAGGCATGGGAAACATTGCAAACCTTCTTCACAACGAGGCCGCCCATTGAGTGCATCACAAAGATCAGAGGATACTGTCATCGAGGTGAGTTGTCGTTCTATTTCGGGGGGGTTTGTTGGGCGATGCAGGCTCACTGTTCCGATCGCTATGTCCTCGAGGCCGCAGACGTCGGAATACGTCTTCAACTGGAATAGTAGTTGGCGAGCAAAGTCCAGGATATTAGACGGCGTGTCTCGGCCGATGAAGTCAGCATTGTACCCAAAGGTGAAGATCCTCGTACGGCACAGCTCGGCGTCGTCGGCCAGCCACGATGGCCAGAAGTATTGCGGATCGTGTTGCCATGACCAGGTCGTCCTCGACGTGCCTCCCAGCCCATGAACAAAAATGACGTCCGCGAGAGGTTGTGGCGCGCTGTGTACAAGTGACAAGCCTAACTTGTTGATTGAAGGCGAAGTATCGCACTTGGGGATACGGGGACGAGCTGGCAATGTGGGCTCTTGCGGGGCGGAGGCGTGTCGGGGGTTTCCCGGTCGCAAGCCGGCAGAGGTGCTGGAGGGCGGGAACGAGGTGATGGCAGCGGACTCCGAAGCCCGCCGATCGAAGCCGTGGTGGCCTTCGTCAGAGTTTTTGGAAGGCCCTCTTTCCTCGGGCTCGTCGAGATCTTGCGACGGGAGGTCCTGTCGTCTTCTGCCGAACTTGCGAAGCTGGTACATGCGATGGGGCATTAGTTGGCAAGCAGCCTCGAAGAGACAAGACGACAGGCAGGAAGGATGACTGACCATGATCGACCGAGGTGGAATGAAGCCTCGAAAGGCTCATGGCGGATCGCTGCTGATGATTAAATCGACGTCAACTGGGGAAATCTCATGGTTCTCCTCTCTTGATCATGAGCAGCGGCGCGAAGCTCTTGTGCGTGTTGCAGGATGCATAGCCATCCTGGGTGAACATAGGAGGGTTTGGGCTGGCTGCTCGCCCACTGGTTGGTTCCTTGACTCCCGGATTACAAGTGTTACAAGTATCTTGGTCTAGGCCGCATGCACTCGACCTAGCAGGCTGCCTCGCTTTGTTGACAGATAGATCATGGATCATCATGGGCTAGTTTCAATGATGGCTGCTCGCATTTTAGAGGGGGCTCCAGTTAATTACGGAGCGCGGACAACGGCCCGGGCCGTGATCTGCAGACCCATGCCAGCTCCACTCGCTATCATGCATAACAGCTCAAATGTTAAGAGGATCACTATGCTACCACCACTGTATTTTTGCTGCCAGCATCTCCTAGGTCTAGCCACCTGTTAGGGGCCTTAGCAGCAGTACAAATATAACACAATGAACATGATTTCTCTCATAAGAAATGATGCTGGCATAGTGCCACGGAACCCCCCTACCTGGCTAGGGTACCTACCTACCAAGGTGTTAGGTACTAGCCCTCCAGTGCTGGACTGTCCCTCATCGATCAAGCCCGGGTGGCTGGATGCCGTATTTCGCGTAAGGAAAGTCCTCTAAGCTGGCGAGCTGCTCAGCCCGGCCATCGTCGAGCTGGCCGAGCTGATGCTCATCCCCGATCTTGACGAGCCCGGTCCTCCCAGCCAGGACCTCCTTCTCCCTCCCCTTGTACTCTGCAGCAAGGCCTTCATGGGGAATCCAGACAGCCCTCATGCCCGCCCGTCGCCCAGCCTCCACGCCTGGAACACTGTCCTCGAAGACGAGGCATTCGTTTGGCTTGATCTTTGGCGCTGACTCTGGCAGCGTTGAGTTGATCGTCTCGAGCGCTAGGAGATACATGTCGGGTGCGGGTTTCCCACGGCCGTCCTTGACACGAGGGTCATCACCTAAGATGCGTCTATTTTCTGGAATCAGGTCCAGGAACTTCTTGGTCTCGGGCCTGGTGGCTTTTCTGTCATAGTTGTAGCCCTCGCTGCTCGTCGCCAGGGCGATTTCGATGGGCTGGTGGCTATCGTTCTGCGCCCCTTTGAGGTGAAGGGGCAGCGATTCGGCGAACAAGAGCTGTTGCTGTTCGTTCTGCTCCTTCTTGAACTGCTCTCTGCCAATGGGAAGCTGGGCCCACTCGTGGAAGACGTCGCCGTTGGAGGAGCCGGGAACGCCCATCAGTTTCGCCTTGACCGACCAGGGCAGCCTGGGGCGCCCGTATTTGGTCAACACATTGTCCGCGCACTGGGTGTAGATGTCCTCAGTGTTGAGCAGGAGACCGTCCATGTCGAAGATGCAGGCTCGAACAGGGGGATGGCTGTCCCTTACTCCATCTCTTCTGGCCCAAAGAAGTCATCGTCATTTGGGTCCTTGTAATCCAGCTGCTTCCCCACAGTGTCTCCCTGCAACCGGGTCAAGAGTTCTTCATGGCAAAACCTTGTGCAGAGATCTTTCATGCCTTCGAAGATCCTGTCAATCGTGGATGGATGGAATCAAAGGTCAGCTCTCTTATGGCTTCGTGTGGCGGCGTAGTGAACGCGACAGACAGCGACCCCGCACCCAGGTAGGTTACATCAGGGCTGCAAGAGTCACACACGGACGGGGAGCAAAGAAGAGACAGAGACTTACGCATCACGCTGCTTCATCGCCGGGTAGAGAATGGCGGCACTCGTGTTGTAGGTCAGCGAGTACAGGAGATTCCTGGCATCCCAGTCCTCCTCCGGCTCCGACACGGGGAAATTGCGCTGGTACTGGCGGACATAGATCTTGCTGCTGAGGCGATGGCGAGGCGCCCGCCAGTTGCCCGTCTCGTATTCGTTGTGCGCATAGAAGGACTTTGGATCGAAAATGAAGGGCTCGCCCGTCTGCATGTCAGTCGCCGAGTTGCCGTCCCAGAGGTCCCCGTGCACCAGGCAGGGCTTGATGGACCTGCCGTTGCTCTGCAGGGGTCGCAGAAGCCTCGGGATGACGCGAACCTTGGTGAGATACTTGATGTGTTCAAACTCGGGCCAGGCCTTATTCTTCTCGCCGTCAAGATCGAGAAGGTGGCCCAGGAAGTTACCAAAGATCTCTTCCCAAGAGTCGCTCCACCCGTCGTTGTGCTGCTTGATCGGGCCGGCCATCGTCTTGAGGTGGAAGCCAAACTTGCCGGTCGGCGAGACGGATTCCTTATGGAGCTGGGCCAGGCGTGCCGTGAACCTCACAGGCTCCGGGGGCTGCTGTCCCACCTCCCGAAACGCGGCCAGCATGAAGTGGCATGTCGGGTCCGACTTATACGGCCCCCATGTGAAGACCTTTGGGGCCAAGGTCGGGATCACGTTGTGGAGGGCCTTTTGGGATTCAAAGTCGGCCTCGATCATATGCAAGCTCATTTCATGTTTGATGGACTGAATCCGTCAGCACCAATCAGCCTAGGGAGCCGAGGGGTCTGCCCATGATGTGGTCAGGCACGAGGCACGCTCCGGACGAACCTTGTGAAAGTAAGAGACCGTCTTGCCGTCCGGTGTGCGGCAGACGATCCTCGCCGTGCGGCCCCACAGAGAATTGCCGTAGGTGTTGGCATGCAAAACCTCCGTTCCGGGGACGGGAAGAGCTGGCGATTTTATGTCGGGTCAGCACACGTCGGGGATTTCTCGTATGGACTGTCTCATACCGGCCAGGACATTGTCGTCGACCTCAAAGTTGCCGCCGATTCTGGGCCCTTTGAACGGCGGGAACTTTGCCAGATGCTCATCTACCGGCAAGCTGGCGGCTACTACTTCTATCGTTGTAGTGGACATCTCGATCCCCCTTCAAGGGCAACAGTTGAGATTAGAACAGATTGTCAAGGGGACGGACACAGCGCCCGCGACGTCCGTCAGCTTCGAAGAGGGGGAAAGAGGGGGCCACTGAGGCTTCAAATGGGAAGGAAGCACATGGCAACACACTCACTCGTCCCCTCCTATTGCATCTGGGCCAGTAAGGAGAAGGCATTTAGCGACCGGGGTTACAATTGCACTGCAGATGGCGCAGGTCGTCTCATTCGTCGCCTGGTGTGTGTGATCTGCTGGGGTTCAAGATATGGTAGAGAAAATGATCAGACTTCATCCTGCTCGATGTTTATTTTTTCATCTCGAAAAACACTGATGCTAAAAAAAATAATAGGGCTATCTATAGTGGCTTCTTGTATTTCCTCTTTACCAAGCAAACCCAAAACGTTTGTAAACCCAGGCGCTTGGAAGATTCGTTCCAAAGCCACATCAAGTATCATGTTTGGTTCCGGATGCAGTATCACTTGAACCTGCCAAGCAGGCAAGCCAATACCATCCAGGAGATCAGAAGCATTTGACTGCTGTGTTGTTGTTGAGCTCCTCTTGTAGACAGGCAAACTCTTTTGCTAGGGCAGGATGCTGCTCTTGCAAGTCTCAATCATCAATATGACCCTCTTCAAGAGATACTACAAGTACCTATTCTAGGAACTTCAATGCGTTAACAGGATACATTTCGGCACATACTGTTATGGCTGTCACTCTGGATGCTGTAAGCTAGCAACCAGTCCGACTTGAAAACACAAACACAAGACCTAAAAGATTCTCGGCCGGCGTGGATACTTATTATGTATGGTACACCCTGTATTTTGGCATAAAGTCTTTGTCTGTCAGCTTAATAGCCTTGTCAAGATCAGCTGTTGCCTGAAGTTTCCAATACCAGTTGGCCACTCGAGTGCTAAGAGTATCTAGACACACTGCCCGGTCAATAAGATCATTGGCTATCATTTCGAGCAGACATGACCACGACGACTTTTCTACCATCTATGGTCATTCGTGTAAAGTGGAAAGAATCCAGTGTATGACTTGCCCTGTTTCCATCAATTCTCGGATGTCCCGTCTTCTCAACGACGACATCAGTCGCTGGAGTGAGCGGGCTGGGGCTGATTGATCCACCTTTTTACATCAAGTTGTCGGGATCCCATCCGATCAGAGGATACACCGAAGCTTTCCATCGACACCACAGGTTCCGAGATCGCATTGGCAAAATTTGTCTATCCGGTGGCCCCATGGCCACGAGATTTGGGAGATTTAGAATTCCTAACCCGGCCCGGCCTCACCTGCTCTCGGTGGCACTTTCCTTATCAGCGGCGACGCTGCACGGAAGCGGCCGACGCTCATTGGCCAATGCCGACAATCAGTTCCCCACAGGACCCTGGAGCTGCTGTCTTGAGCCGCGACAAAGCGGCATCCAGCGATGTCTCTCTCTCCCCGCTCTCGCTGGTGGTGTGCAGAGAGTGAGTGACGTAGAAATGTAGCACGATAAAGGGAAAACGCCCTCCAGAACCACGTAGCATTTTTTTTTGAGCCTCAATCATTCCCGGTAAAGCTGCCCAATCGATCTTCTTTCTTACTGCATTTGTGGGCGTCTGGAATCATTCCCTTTTTCTACAAGAGCGTCCCTTTGGAAAACCGAATACCCCGCGATGGCTTCGAGGCGTGTCGGGAGCCTCGTGCTCAATGCCGGCCTGCGCCGTGCCCACCTCCAGTCCAACAGGTGCCTGCTGGCACCCCGATCTGTAGCTACATGCACACAGGCGATTCAGATCCGCAGGTCGACAATGGCTAGCTTCCAGATCCCTACCGTCTCTAACGAGCCCAACGTGAGTCGCATGCCGCTCTAAGATGGTGATGACATCGTAACTGATAAGCTGCGCTTCCAGCACCACTACGCCAAGGGGTCCGCACAGAGGGCAGGCCTCACGGCGGCACTCGAGAGGATGCAGCAGAACGGCTCTATCGAGGTTCCCCTCTTCATTGGAGGCAAGGAGGTATGGGCTAGCTTGTTTTACACACTCACCTGAGCTATCGTGAACGGCATACTCACCACATGTGAACCGACCAGGTCAAGTCGTCCAACACCGGAAAGCAAGTGAACCCGGCCGACCACGGCACCACACTCGCGACCTACCACAAGGCGAGCCCCGAGCACGTCAGCCAGGCCATCGAGGCCGCACTCGCCGCCAAGCCGGAGTGGGAGTCGATGCCCTTCTCGGACCGTGCCGCCGTCTTCCTCAAGGCGGCGGATCTCATCGCCGGCAAGTACCGCTACGATATCATGGCGGCAACCATGCTCGGCCAGGGCAAGAACGCCTGGCAGGCCGAGATCGACTCCGCCGCCGAGCTGTGCGACTTCCTGAGGTTCAATGTGCAGTACGCCGAGGAGCTCTACGCCCAGCAGCCCCAGCACCACTCTGCGGGTGTGTGGAACAGGAGCGAGTACCGCCCGCTCGAGGGCTTCGTGTATGCCGTCAGCCCCTTCAACTTCACCGCCATCGCCGGCAACCTGTCTGGCGCACCGGCCCTGCTCGGCAACGTGGTTGTCTGGAAGCCCTCCGACTTCGCCATTGCCTCCAACTGGCTCCTCTACCAGATTCTCCTCGAGGCTGGCCTGCCCCCCAACGTCATCCAGTTCGTGCCCGGTGACCCGGTCGAGGTCACCAACGTTGTGCTGCAGCACAAGCAGTTCGCCGCCCTCCACTACACGGGCAGCACGGCCGTCTTCCGCAAGCTGTACGGCCAGATCGGCGAGGGCACTGCCGAGGGTCGGTACGCGGGCTACCCCCGCATCGTCGGCGAGACGGGCGGCAAGAACTTTCATCTCATCCACCCGACCGCTGATTTGGAGAATGCCGTGATCCAGACCGTCCGCGGTGCCTTTGAGTTCCAGGGCCAGAAGTGCAGCGCCACCTCGCGCGCCTATGTCCCCGCGTCTCTGTGGCCCGAGTTCAAGACCCGCCTGGTGGCCGAGGTCGAGAAGCTCAAGCTTGGCAACCCCTGCGATCACACCAACTTTATGGGCCCTGTCATCCACGAGGCCTCCTTCAAGAAGCTGTCGGGCGTCATTGACGAGGCCAAGAGCGACAGCGAGCTCGAGCTGGTGACGGGCGGCAAGTACGACAAGTCCAAGGGCTACTTTGTGCACCCTACCGTCTACAAGACGACCAACCCGCGCCACAAGCTGCTCTCTACCGAGCTGTTCGGCCCCGTCCTCACCATCCACGTCTGGGACGACGCCGCGGGCCAGGAGGCCTACTCCCGGGTCTGCGAGCTCGTCGACTCGACGTCCGAGTACGGCCTGACGGGCTCCGTCTTCGCGGCGGACCGCAGGGCGCTGCGCTTCGCCGAGGAGAAGCTCCGCAACGCCGCGGGCAACTTCTACCTCAACTGCAAGAGCACGGGTGCCGTCGTCGGCCAGCAGCCCTTCGGCGGCGCGCGGGCCAGCGGCACCAACGACAAGGCCGGCAGCCCGAACCTCCTGGGCCGGTTCGTCAGCGTGAGGAGCATCAAGGAGGAGTTCAACGCGACGACCAAGGTCGAGTACCCGAGTAACGAGGCCTAAGACTGGCGAGCACGGACGGAGGACGGAGGACACCTGTGGGTGTGGGTGAGGGTGAAAAGACGAGGACCAAAGGAGGAATCTGCTTGAGGCGGTTGTGTCACGGGGAGTGACTGATTACAATCTCAAAGCTGAAATTATACCATTGTAAGGATAGAGTACTGCCTCGAGCACAAACGAATAAATGAACTTTGAAAGCACGATAACCACCTGCAGATATCAAAGTTGTCACTGACGGTGGTGGTGATGAACTGTCACGTGTCTCGGTCTACCTACCTCGGTGAAGGATTCTTTATCACGCCCGCCGAGCAGAGAAGAGCATGACAACATGTTTTGGGTCTCTGATGGGAAATAGTCGACTCTCGCCAAGCTAGGTGACAGCCCAAACGCAAGGGTAGTCGGAGCCCCAAATGCTAGCTGCTAGCGTCCACATGGGAAGATAAGCCGCACGCACTGACCGAGTGCCGAGAGCAGAGCTGATCATCTCGACTGAGCACGTGGCCTATTTGTTGCGTCGAGAAGAGACACCAGCGAAATGGAACGTACCTAGGTATCGTCGTTAGCGAAGAGCAGGGCTTGGGGCCTGGCCCCCTGTGTGTGGGAAATCAAAGACATCAATGCTGGCTGGGACGAAGAATGTCCGGAGAGTATCGCCGACGAGTCAGGGCAAGATCATCAGCTGTTGCAGGATGTTACCGCCGAGCAGGTGGTTGTTGTCACGAAGGACCAGCGGATATGAAGCAGGCGGTTGCGTGGGACTCTTTCATATGCGGCTGCGTGTTGTGTGTGATGCTATGTACAAGTATGTACGTGTGTGTGTGCCAGGTCAGGCCAGGCCAGGCCAGGCAAGAGGTCGAGAAGGGACCATGTGGCTGGAGCCACTGGCCATGAATGAACCCGGCGTGTCATGCGGCTCAGGCTCTTGGATCTTGCGTCCGCCTCCCGCACCCCCGGGCCTGTAGCCGAAGGGTTCGCCAGCAAAGCAAGCACTTGCTCGGTGGGTGGTGATCTTGGGGGGAGGGTAGAGCAGGCAGGGCAGCATCTAGACCCTCACCCTCACGCTCTCGTCTCGAAACGACCCCCGTAAATAGAGCCGGGGCAGCCAGCCAACCTCAAAGTGGGGAGAGTTGAGCTGATCGTGGGATGGCGATCAAGCATGGACATCAGGGAGAGATGATGCGCAAAAAGGCCGGAGAGCACGGGCCACAGCAGCTCGCGTGCCTCTTGTCCTCATTCTTCTTTGGCTGCTTCTCGTTCAGGAACGTGCCGGAATGGCGGGCGCTGATTGGCCAATGCTCGCGTGAGTGGAGTGGGCACAGCATCACCATCTCGGCTCCTCCTTGAACCCCAAGCCTTCGATCCTTGGCCTTCCTGGCCTTCCTGGCCGTCCTGGCCTTCCCAGCAGCTCCCATCTCTCAGGTTGTCTCGGCGCGCGCCACGGACGGCGGCGAGACCAAGGCAGCCCTTGCGTCTCCTCCTTTCTGGGGCGAACTGGATGAATTAGGTTTGATTGATCTGCCTCTCCCCCCTCCCCTTCTCTCCTGTGGGCGGGCTAACGGTCGAGCAAAAGATGGGTCTGCTTCGCCATTTCTCTCGTCTCGTACAAGCACAGAGGTAGCAGTACCGATGCCTGCAGCCCAGATTCGCGCTGCGTCCTGGGTATCAGACTGTACAAGTTGTCCGTGGCAGGCAGAGGTGTCCTAAGAAAAGAAAATCAGAACTGGAGAGGCGCGGAGAGAGGAGCGGGCATGTGCGTCCAGACAACAAGGCAGAATGGACGAGTCGCGTTTCACCCCCGATGCACGACTGTCCCCCTCGTTCTAGTCTGTTGTCCCGGCTCTGCCAATGCTCCCCGTCCCTCACCCTCTGCTATGTGTTGCTTGCGTGCCCATTGCGTGCGTGCTCTGTTTCCGCCGGTCTGGATCTAAATGCGCCCGCCAAGTGAGTCGGTGACTCGTGGACATCCATCTCTCTCTCTCTCTCTTGAAGCTGCCCTTCGCTTCTTCTGTTTTCTTGCTAGCTTTTCTCTCTCTATTCTACAGCGTCGACACCGCGATACTCCCCTATCATTGCAGAAAAACTGCTTGTTAGGCTAGGTCCTCTCTCGCCGCCCCGGTCGCAGAGGTTGATACCAAAGAGCACCCCCGCCTGCTCCGGCCTGGCTAATGCAACAAGTGCGACTCAGCTCCAACGCCCCTGATACATATAAGTTCCCAGGTCCAGGGGAGAGGACTTGAACGAGGCGCACCTCGTGGCCACACCCACACCCGCCTGATATTACCTCATATCTCCCGTGGGATTTTCTGGACACACCCGCCGGGCACTGGACCATCGTCCAGTCTGACTGTCGACCTGTCGGAACTGGACTCTGCTGTCTCTCGGACTTTGGATCATCCTTCGTATTCGCAGCACGCCGCTCGCCCACGATCATGCCGCGCACCTCGCTCCCGACGCCGGCGTCCTCGACCGACCTGCCAGGCCAAGACGGCTCCAAGCAGCTCGCGAACCTCCAGATGTCTTTCGAGCTGCCGCCTCCGGCCATCAACGAGGCCGAGACGCCAAGGCCGAGCGCCAACGACTCGGACGTCTCCCCTTCCACGTCTTACAGGAGTAGTGCCAAGGCGCCTTACCCCCTCCAAGCCGCCGAGACCGTCAAGTCTCGCCGCAGGTCGTCCACGACGACACAGAGCGCCGCCGCCAAGGACTCGTTCGCCCTGCCGCCGCCCCCGACGCGCTCTCGCAAGATCATCCAGATGAAGCCCCGGGCGGCACAGCAGCCTGATGACCAAGACCAGCCCGACCACAGCGGCGCCAAGTCAGCCGCCGGCTCCAAGAACTCGACGAACTCGGCCGCCGCCGCAGCAGGGAACGGAGCAAACAAGAAGAAGCAGCCGTCGGCGACGAGCGCCGCGGGACGGAAGATTGCGCGCAAGACGGCGCACAGCCTGATCGAGAGGAGGAGGAGGTCGAAGATGAACGAGGAGTTCGCCGTGCTGAAGGGCATGATCCCCGCCTGCACGGGCGAGATGCACAAGCTGGCCATCCTTCAGGTTCGTAGGGTCACACTCGCAAGGTTTTCTTTGCAGACCAAGCTTTTGTTTGTTTTATACTAATGCGGAATTGCTCTCACAAAAGGCGTCAATTGAATACGTTCGGTATCTAGAGGATTGCATCACTCAGCTCAAGAGCCAGCACCAGCAGCAGGCCGCCACGCCGACCGAGATGGGCATGCCCGCGCCCTCGCCGTTCATGCCCGAGCAGCACCAGCAGTTCCAGCCGGACCACTCGCCCGACGTCGAGATGACCGGGTCGGTGCTCCCGTCGCCCTCGTCCACCCGGCAGACGTCGCGGTCGCACCAGCCCTCCGTCTCGCCCGCGCTCCTGGCCCAGGACTCGCGCCAGAGGCAAGACTCGTACTCGTCGGCGTCGTCGGACCACCGCCACTACAGCTTCAGCATCTCGGCGACGACCTCGCCGGCGTTCGGCCCGCAGCCCAACTACTACGGGCCCCAGGGCCCTCCGTCGGCGGCCGGCTCGACACTGACGAGCCCTGCCCTGCTGCCCCAGCGCGACCTGGACCAGGAGGCGACGGCCGCGCTGTTGATGCTGAACCACGACCGTCGTGGTACGGGCGTTGCCAACCGGGGCATGAGCGTCCGGGATCTGTTGAGCACATGAGGCGATGACGGACGTTTCCGAATTGCATTGTTCTTTCTTCCCCTTTTTATTTTTTTTCACGTTGCAATGAGCATACCTGGGACACTTTCTTGTCGAAATCGGTGATGGCATAGATGTTTTTCCGTCATCGGTCTGCCTGGAGACTTGCATCCAACAGTGCAGACTGGGCATTTTCGAATTTCCTCGGGAAAGAAAAAACGAGTTTCAGCTCGGAGGCTAGTATACCAATGCTGGGGGGATTCATGAGTCGTTCTTTTCGTCGTTCATTGCAGCAAGGGCAAGTCGCTCATATAGACGTGGTGGGGGAACTAATGTCTGGGAGGGCTGGCGCTCAGGCGTATACATACATATCTGTTCACGAGGTTATCAGGATAATATCAAAAGTCATACCCCCCCAGATGCCGGCTGGCATTAACTTGATGAGCTTAAACGGACCGCATTGACACCTCTTCCCCCGTCCTTTCCGTTGCGCCGAACGACGCCACGGCCGTGGCTGGGCGGGGAAGACGAGGGAGTCTGGTCCAGGACGATTCAATGCAGGTGGATGGCGGTCTATCTTGCTAACCACCAGGAAAAGCTTATCACGACAAGTCAAGTGTTTCGGTTGGGCCCGTTGGAGCGGACAGCATAAATCGCACAAACACTCGAACGCACGTGTTGTGTTTTCAGCGTGGTACGATAAAAAATGGGCTTCTGTTTGAGGCGCACCAGGACAGGCGGGCTGGAAGAAGGTCGAGGGCTGACGAAAGGCACGAGTTTTGGCGATCATGGGTCCACGGGGTAAGCGGCTGCACCGTCGGGGCCTCTTGGCCGCTGTGGGCAGACAGCTGTCACAGCCTTGTGGGATTTGATTGATTGAGCCTCAAGAAATGGGGCTGGGATTGTCAGTTCAGGGTTCAGCCTGGAAGGAGGGGGGGGAATGGGCAGATTGAATGTCGGTTGAGCAAACGAGGCCTGGGATTCCATTCGCCATCTGGGGTGCCCGGGGGTTGGGGAAGATCCCCAATGCGAGGGCGGGTTTCACAGTCGGCTCGGATCGTACGAGGGGGTTGTCTGGGCTCTGTGTCAAAACTCCAAAAATCGAACCGTTTTGGAGAGCTTCACCACCGGCAACCCTTGAGCTTCGGCACGTGACGCACGACTCCCTTGCTCTATATCGTTCGAGAACGCGAAAGAGGTTTTGCGGGTTTATGGCCGAGATGTGCGACTCTGCGACTCTGCGACTCTTGAACGGACGATGCCGGGGGTCTGAATGTCGTGGGGCACGTATCGAAACGGTCGACATGAAGGCTGGCGACGCAAGTATATAATTCGCCTCAATGCTCCGGCTTTCAATGGATCTTTTTCTCTCTCTCTCAGCAAGCAGCAGGCTCCTTCAGATCTCATCCCATCTTCCTCGTCCCTATTCCTCCCCCCCTCAACTGGCCGGTCCAAGTCCGCACTTCGCTTCGACTCTTTGTATAAATACAGTAATTTACTTTTTTTTTTGACCGCCGACCACCACCCCAAGGACCATCGCCAGCAGCGCCGGCGTGGATCAATCATTCATTGGAGCTTTTCTTTGTACCTGCCTCCCCAGCTTTCCCAACAGCCGGTCTAGGGAAAGCACCGCGGATCCTGCCGTCGCCCAAGAAGAGTCTCAGCCCGAAGCCTCCGCAGCCGACCTCGCCCTCCCGCCGTACTACACCGGCCCCGCCCTCGACCCCGAGAAGAACCCGCTCGGCCTCCTCGTCTCCGGACCGTCAGCCCTCTCGTCCTCGGCCGCAGCCCGCAGCGCCGTCCTCGACGTCAACTTCCTCCAGTACAGCCCCCCGGCCGTAGAACCCCCGCCGTACTACCCGGGCCTCCACCAGCTCCTCCACCACAGGAAGCAGCAGTCCTCCGTCTCCAAGAAGGACCCGCCCTTCCCCGTCCCCTTCCCCGTCCGCAAGCGCTCCCGCCGCCACTCCAAGCCGCCCGTCTACGTGGACCAGCGCTCGCACTCGCGCGTCCAGTCCCTCTCCTACCTGAGCTTCCCGCCCCCCTCGTACGAGATGGCCACCCAGGGGAACCCGACCATGCCAAAGGTGACGACGCCGCCCTCCTCCACCCTGCCCGCCGGGCCCCGGCCCGTCGTCGGCGCCGGGCCGCAGTCCAAAGACGACATCCTTGCTGACCTGCGCCGGCAGCTCGACGACTCGGTCTCGGACCTCGGGTCGAGCAGCATCGACTCCCGCACCGGCCGCCGCCGCAACCGCCGCCGCGGCAACAGCAAGGCCCTCGCCGCCACCGCCGGCAACGCCGCCGGCGGCCTGACCCAGCCGGCCATCCTGCCGCGCCTCGCCGAGACCAAGCCCGTCCGCCTGCAGCTGGGGCTCAACCTCGACGTCGAGCTCGAGCTCAAGGCCCGCCTGCAGGGCGACGTGTCGCTCACGCTGCTGTAAGTTTTTGTCTCTCTCTCTCTCTCCTCTTCCTCTCCTTTTCCAGATCTCACCTTTCTTCCCTTTTCTTTTCCACGTGCGTGGTGTGTAATGGAAAGAGAACGACTCGTGGCTGAGACATGGACGACCGTCCGAATCCGAAAAAAACAGTCAATAAATGAAAAAATTTCCATCTCCCATATCATGGTCGTCGTCGTCCGCCAACACCCCACAAAAACAAAAATTAGTATCGAGAAGAAGCCCTCGGCGCGGCCCTCGGAGGAGCTCAAGCCCAGCCTGACGGGCGTCGTGCAGGCCGCGGAGCTGTTCTACATGCGCATCGGGGCGCTGCGCCTGCGCCAGCGGTGGATCGAGCGCGAGGTCAGCGCCTCGCTGACGGCGGCCGTGGGGCTCGGCATCGCGGCCGGCGGGTTCCTGGCGGGCTTCCTGGTCGCGCTGGTCTGGTGCGGCGCCGGCGTGGGCGTGGTCGGCAGTGGTGGTGTCGGCAGTCGGGTGATTGTGCTGTCATGACAGTGACTTGGCCCAGTGCTTGGGAGAGTTTTTGGATCGGAGAAGGAAGGAAGAGAGAAATGGAAAAAAAAAGGGGGAAAGACAAGTGAGAGGAAGAAGAGAGTTGTGGTGAACCTTGCGGGATTTCTCTTTCCGCTGGTGCTTTCTTTTCCCCTGGTGTTCTCTGGGGTTTTCTGGGTTTGGAGATATTTCTTGCTTCATCCAGTCTCCTTGAGTCGGTAGCCTCTGTACAGATAGTTTCTTTGAATGGACTTATATGGTCACTGGTCGAATAATCTGTTCCAGCATCGGCGTGCATGGTCCCATTACTCGTGGTGTTGAGCTTCCCTTTCAAAGACTTGTGACCTTCGAGTGTTGGAGTTGAGGTATGTTCGGCTTGAATGTGTGTGCTATTTGACGTCTGAGGTTCTAGTCACACGTACTGCCTTCGGGCTCACGTAGTGGTACGACCCAGTTCAAGAAGAAGGAATTCGACTAAAGGGACGTTGAATCTGAATCATTAGCATAGCAGATCATGACCAGTTCTCTGCTTGACTACGTGTATTCACAGTCTCCGTCGAGATGGCTATCTGTTAAGAGACTTCTCAAACCGGACTGCAATGTTATGTCATAAGAGTTCCATTAGTTTATGTGGACTACAAAAGTGTCTCTAACGAGACCGATGCTCAAGAGTTCAAGTCTAGATGTATTGCTCCCTGCAATAACACGAACGGCTCAACACGAACTGTTTTTTTTTTAACCCTACCGCTTTCTGCAACGCCCTTCGAAGGCAAAGCCTGCGCCAGGAGGCTTCTACGTGCTTGGACGCCGGGAAACGAAGTTGATATACAAGCAGCCTCGGTTGCTCTTCAGCTAACAGTGGCCATAGAGTTGCTACACCAAAGTGCCCTGCGATCTCCACACCAAATCTATCGGAACATCTGGTCGTCTTGAACTGTCAAGGGCCAGGAACCACTTCACGATTTCCTTCCGAAGCTAGACGTCGCAATAGCCAATGTCTCGTGAAATTAGCTCAACGGATAAGAGCCAGTTTCGTCCCCTATCCTATTGTCCATGTGCTCACAGACTGAAGATTCGATTGGTGTGACCACCGTCGACCCAGGATCGTCGGAAGCAACTCTGGTCTCCCTCGTTCCCCCGTCTTCTCGGTCACGAGCAAGAGTCGGAAAGGAACCCCCCCCCCACTGTCGTCGTCCCATATATATCACGACAGAACCACGGTACAGTCTTGATAAAGAAGAAACAGCGGCCGGCAAAGTGACAGATGACCTGCATTTTCGGGCCCCGGCCTCCCGCGCACCGACGGCGCAACTTCACATGCAGCCAATTTCCCGGCCCTGTCCAAGATGCTGGTGGCGTCTACCATATGGGGGAGTCGCAACGGCGTTGGACCGGGGGGGAAAGGCCACAACACACGAGAGTGCATCGGTGGGGGTCAGACGGCTCATGGGGAGGAGGAGGGCGGCGAGATTACCTGGGCTGGGGGGAGACGGGAGGGAGGCCAACAACACGGTATGATCTGATCTTCCAGAAGGGCCAAAAGTTGGGAGGCCTGAGCAAAACTCCGGTGGTGATGTAACCCGGCCCGCTGCGAGAACCCTTTTGAGAGAGACTTGCCGGATCCAGTATCTCCCCAGCGATTCGACGCCGCGTCGAGAAAGGCGTTGGACAAGGCGTGACCTTGTTTCACGTCGCAGTCATTTTGTCAGGCTCGTCATCTCGCGGTCGACTGCCGGGATGCCACCTCAGGTCACGATCACGATGTTGCAATTCTACGACGACGAGTAGTTTTGACAAGCCTCGGCGCGCCCACTTCGAGAGAAACCCTGAATTTATGGAATCGTTCGGGAAAGAGAACGGGTCGTCGCCAGTATTTCGCACATCATACCACGGTAGCATCGAAGAGACCAGACTGTTGGACAGACAAAAAAAACAAATTTCCCCATATCCAGGGATCGCATAGACCATCTCGCCAAATTTTGACAGGAAGCCCCTACCCTTGGCCATTCCTTTTTTTTGACGATTTGGAATGAAGCCCATCTTCAGACTCCCTCAGAAAGGGCAAAATGATCTTCGCTCGCTTAACCATCGCATCCCCACGTTAAATCTCCGAGAGGGCTCAACGTTCGTCAAGAGATTGGATGATGCCGGACGACAATTCTCGAAATCTCACTCAACGGCCTAGGTACGGCATTCGGATCCCTCAGCCGAAAAAAGAAATACGACAGAAGCCCAGGCTGCCACCACGAGTGCCGAAGGAACCGAGGGCTGGCGCAAAGTCCGTCCGAGGGGCCCGGTCTGTCGTCGTTGTCCTCGGGGATAACGCAGCGCTTTTGCCCACCAAAATCGTCCGTGGGCTCAAGAAGGGTGTGTGTGTGCCTTGCGTCGTCTTGCAGACACGCCGCCAGGTGGTCCTGGTCCATGCGAAGGTTTGCTGAGACCAATTTCCGGGATTGTTGATGAGTCTCGACCCCTCCGGGCAGTTGGCCGGGTGGTGGTTGAAGGTGGCAGACCCGGGAGGCAACCTCTTTTGCAGCTCTGCCTCGATAAATCTACTGGGGCGAGTTTCGTTTCGTGCACCAGTGCCACTTCAATTAGCTGTCCCTTCCTTGATGTCTCTCTACTCTTGGTATTTTCAGCAGTACCTATCTAGTGAAGCTCCTTGGTTGAGTCACCCTCAAGTCATTGGTCTTGAGAACTCAATATCGTATCTGACCAACAGACCGTAGCATCGTAGGGGGCGGAAAGTACGCAGGCACACACTTGCCCAAAAGAAGGCAGTACTTCGTGAGAAGTGCACAGCTGTCAAGGCTAGGAGGTCCTTCGCTGGGGATGTGTGACCGTTCAGTACAGATGTGGCTTGAACAAACCTGTTTATTGTTCCTTCGAGAGGGGGGGGGCTCGTGTGTAGGAGTCGTGCCCGTGTGCCACACCTCACTCCTCGGAGCAAAGAGTCTCATCAGAGTCTAGCCACTTTGCAAAACACACGTGCGGACAATTCCGTGATCGTCGGGAGCTTTTGTGCCAAGGAGGGGAAAGGGTTTGAAGCAATTGTAGTCTAGCGTGCTTATTACACGGGATGACCCTCACTCGCTCTGTGCAAAAAGACTGGTAACGAAAGACAAAAGAAGGGCCCGTGAGACGGGCGGACCGGTCTCGAATAGATTGCTGTCGCTCGGACGCGTCGAGTCAGGCCTCCTCCCGCGGAAGGGCGCGCGTGGAAATCTAATTGCCTGTAACTACACACACACACTCTATTCTCAAACTGCATGTCAGCCCGCCCAGACGCTGGAGTGCGTCAGCGCGAGGCCCTGACAGGTGAGTGGGTGGCCACACCTTACCTAAACTCGACGGGATATGTGGGTGCCCACGGGGCGGGATGGCAAAGAAGAAGGAAAAAGAGTGAAGCCATTTAGGTTTTGCCCATCCATGGACTGTTTCCAAGTTTCTGGCGCGCCAAGTGTAACTGGCTGGTGCAACTCGAGCATGGGATATGCTGGGATCTATCTATCCCCTTTTCCCGCCCACCGCCAACCATCAGATCCGCATCTTGCATCCTGTTTCCCTTTTTCCCCTTCCTCGTGCCGTGACGTGCCGCTCGCGCAAAATCGAGCCAAGAACCCCGACTCGTGACCGGAGAGGGTTCCTCAAACAGCAGCACACTTCCGGGTCGTGAGAGTGGCAGGTGGTGCGCCCACCTGTTTCCTTCCTGGCAGGGCCATCGCGGATCCCTGAACCTTGGCTCTCCGTCACCAGGTCTCCGGCAGCTGCTGTACGACCGAAGCCGTGGCCACACCTCTCTCTCTCTCTCTCTCTCGATGCGTGTTCCCGGGGCGGGCCTTCATGTAAGAGACCCTCCCTTGCCTAAAACAGGCATCACATACACCATCCCTGCCCGGCGCCGTGATTGGGTCCCGACAGTCCGACAGCAGGCCTGCAGTTCGCGGCCACGTAATACAACGACGAACCATCACCACCACCACCACCCCGGGTGGACATTGCATAACTAGGTACCTTGCTCGGCATAGCGGGCGGGTTCCTGTGAAAAAAAAAAAAGAGAGAGAGAGAGGTGAAGACTACTTGAGCGAGAAAGATACACCGGCTGGCCTCAAAATCACACGATAACAACAAAGGCGGACCATACCTACCTACCGGACTCGGAAGATGTAGAACGAGGTCACACACACACACACACACCTCATCCGACCGCGCCGTTTTCTCACGGATCATGATTCGCGGAGCGGGGGAGATTAGCAAAGGCCCGGTCCGCGGACTAGCACGTTTCGTCAGGGGCGGGGGGACGGTGTATACTAGCGGATATACTAATGAGTTGTGGTGTTGACGGAAAACCTCGATTCGGGGTTATGGGCGTGTCATGTGTGTTACTCCTGTAAACATGGATGCCAGTCCACAGTTGGCCGTGTAGTGCCCGGCATGGCTTGTGTTTCTCAGAGAGCGATGCCAAGGTACGGAGTAGACAGGCAGAGCTGGCGATAGCAAATAGGGAGAGGCTGCTTCCTCAATCCCTGACATGTCGGCGGCTGCTGCAACGACTGAAGAACACGGCGAATCACCGTCGAGAAGCCCGCTAGATTGGGCCGCAAAGCCCGGAGTCTCGGCCAGCTTCTTGGCGGCAGTCATGCACTGTCCTTTGGCAATCAAGATGCTCCTACAGCTGGTGTCTGGAATATTGAGAGACATCACCTTGGACTGCACATTGGTCAGCGGACATTGGGAGCTCAGAAACCGACAGCGAATATCTCTTGGACGAGGCGAGCCTGGTTGGATCCGTGCAGCAGATTCGCCGCGAAGATCCGCAGTCATCGCGCACAGATACCGAGTGTAGTGATTAGACTTCACCTTCGTGTGATCTCGTCCAATGCTTCGGTCCCGCCCTCGCGTATCGAGCAAAAGCTCCAAAGCCCGACAACTCCCTTACCGAACTGCAGATATTGGGGGGGCTTATGCCCTTGCCTGACGTCGAGCGCCAGCCCGGAGAT